CAGCCTGAGTTACTTTGGCAATAATTGGAAGGATTGCACTTGATTCTGTAAGAAGAGGATTTGGGATTCATCACAAAGATCCTGGACAAAGTCCTGAGCCTCATTAGAAGCAAAGAAACAAGGCATGACCCCTTATTCTGCACTGAATAAAAGGGTCAGCTTTAACAATTTCTGCTCGAGAAGGAAAAACTCCTATTATTTTCTGTTTCTTTAGCCTGGCTGAAGCAAAATGCATCCTGAGCTTTCTACACAGCTTTTAATTTTCTCTACCTTGTTTCCTGAGTACCACAACAATTTTCACCCTTGAACACGAACTTTTCTTGGTTAGTGGTTAGATACAGAAATTTTCCAAGTTACTCGAGTTGAAGAACTTCTCTAAATAGTTCCCATTACTATTTGCATTTAGAAGTTCTAATCTTTTGCATTTCTATAAGTAATTCTCAAAATCCATCCAGTTCAGGTTTTTCTCACTCTCAGGGTAAGCCACTACATTAGGGTCTAAGACCTGAAATGCAACTGTTTGCTTTTAATTTCTGTGGCAGAGAATTTAGCCCCAGTTCTTGGAACATCTACATCAGCTTCCTATGAGGTGGTAAATTCAGAGCTGACTCAACAAAATTCACATAGACAAGATTAACTGTGCTTTCACTGAGATAAAGGAAGGCACTGAGCTCTGCCTTCCTAAACAGAGGCCTACCCAGCCCATAAAGGTAAAGAAGATGCAGAAAGGTGCCTTCTGACATGCAGCAGAAAGATTTCTAATGGTGATCTTCAACCATGGGAAGTTCACTTGGCAATTTAAGGGTCGAAAGTGGGATGGGAATAATGGGATGTGCCAAACTGAGCATTAAAACTTGCTCACATTCATCTCTCTTGATTCTAGATGTCTCTAATAAAGGGAGTGTGCCCTATTTAAATAGTCCCTAGACTCCAGTGCTGGAAGGAGACTTGAGGGCTCATCTAGTCCATGCCTAGAGGAGCTCCATCACTACCACTGCTAAGGCTCTTAATTCCTCAGACAGCTTCAAGTTACTTGGTCCTTTCTTTTGGAAAGGTTTTTCTAGGCCCTTTTTTCATTCCCATTGCTGCTCCATGCTTTTCTCAGTGTGCAGAGCCCACAAGTAGGGGCAGCATCCTATCCATGGCTTCACTCTCACAACACAAAACAAGGGATTTCTTTGCATGTGCTGTACAGTTCATAATTAGATTTAAGTTTTTCATGTCTGACATTGCCAACTGGTCTTCATCATCCAGGGAACTGCTGGAAAAACTGAATAACCAAAGACTCACCTGGGCACAACCTTTCACTGCATCCTTCTGGCAGTTAATCAGTGCCTCTCAATATGCTCTTCTATTTGACACAGTTTTGAACCATTTTAAGGGCACTTTCATTTCAGGGATTTTCCAATAAATTTCACACACCTCATAATTCATCTAGGTTGTATTTCCATAACTTTACAGATAATATAAAAATTTGTCACTGAAATCAAGCAAAGAAATGGTGTCTTGGGTGAGGAGCTCACTGCAGGGGCTGTGTTAAGACTTGTGCACTTTACAGGATTAAATATACTTGATTCACTATAACTTCCTGGTAATAAAAAGAAGGAGCAAATATGACCATACAATAATACACTTAATTTACCAGTTCCTCAATTTTGTTTTTTTTTGCTCAGGCCACGGGAATGATGATTGCAAATAAGAATGGGAAGGAAGTTACCTGTACTATTCAGCTGTATTTGCAGGGGGAAGTATTAAGGCACCCAGTCTAGGCATTGGTGTGTTAAGAACATTGTGGCAATACTCACTCCATGGAAACTAAATATATCCAAGAGTTTTTCTTGTTCTTCACATATTTATCTCACAACTCAGCGTCAAAGAAAGGAATAGTTAATATGAGCCATGATGACCTATATCCAGGATGTGTGGCAGAAAAGACTGTTCTCAGTCACTAAACAATCAATTTCATTTCTATTTTCAAACTTACTATGGATTTTCAGGATGGATTTGTCTCGTCCAGCTGGGGCTACCTGAAAGACAGTTGTATGCAGATGGAAGGGAGAGAAGGAGAGAAGATAAGAGTGACTCATCTGGTGGATGTAGATGTTCAGAAGAGGAGGTGAATCACTCTCTAAATGCCCTTATTGATTCTCCACTGACTCAAGGGGAACTCTGACAACTGTACTGACCATACAGCTCTCTCTTGGATTGTACCCTGTTGACCTGGTAAGGATGCTCCGTTTAAGGTGTGAAATTTGTGTGCCTCTTGTCATCTCAATCTCGCTCTTATGGGAAATAAAAAAGTGATTAAAACCTGTTTCACCTTTATAGATAATTAGGTTGGATGAAATTTTTCTGATGATAATTTCAAGGACATGGTGTAACTCGGGCTTCCCCAAACCTCTGCCCTGCAGCAGAGCTGCATGCTGCTGTGGAGGTTGGGAAGGGCCCTCGTGGGTGCACAATGTGAGTTCACAACCACCATTACTGTAATTTTTAGGCTGCAGAAGCAACATACTGATTAACAGAGTTTAGGTAGCTGCTAGAGCCACCCCCACACCTTCCCTGGGAAGGGTCCATATGAAATGTTATTCCCTTGGATAGAGGACTTGTGTAAAAGTAATTCACAGCAGAAGAGTTGAATGAAAGACAAAGCTTGCTTATTTCAGTGAGTTACATGGATGTTTACAGCTGCTTTCAGCCGGGAAGGGCTGCAATAAAATCACAGTGTTGCCCTTTCTTCAAGCTGGCCGAGGGACCGTTTAAGGAAAGGACACTCCTCCAGACCAAGTAAGTTTGTGCAGTTTTAAAAGCACTTACAGGGTTTCAAAAGGCCCTTGTTAAACCTAGACCTAAAAAGGCTGCAGCTGTGTTTGTGGTTTACTCCCTGGCAACTCCATTTCTGTACTTGTGGTCTTGTGACATTGAATAAAGTAATCTTTATAATCTTCTCTGTGGTGGCCTGAGCTACGTGACAAGCTCTTTTCCTCCCAGCTCTCTGCTGAAAAGCAACAGATATCCCAGCACCTTCTTTTCCTCCTACATCTTCCTTAATTCTCAAGATGCCTTTTTCCTTTTTTTTTCTCCACCACTTCCCAGATATCCATCGGTTTTTATAGTACCTCCCTTCCTTAGAATTAACCACATCTAATTCTGTTGCTAAGATCTCACGTTAATAGTCTAAATTTTAATGTTAGTTATGTTTTATTTCTCATAAATCCCAGTTTTTATCTGTGACTGGGTGCCTTTTCCCCATTCTGGGTCTCTCTGTTCTCACTCTCCCCTTCTCTACCTTGCTGTACTTTGGGTCTGTCCCTTGCAGAACCTGCACTGTTTTTGTCGTAGCATCACTCCACAAACTGACCTATTTCCCAAAGCTGATCTGGCTAATTCCTCTCACAAACCATAACCGTTTTTTATGACCTTTAAGAGTGTAAAGGCTGACTTACAGGTCTTTCTCATGCAATCTGTGTTTGTAGCAAGCCACCTGAAGTCACCATTCCTTCCAGCACAAGTGGTTGTACTTTCCATTTATTCCTGGATAAAAACTCACCTTTTATGATAAAATCTTAGTGGCTGTTATTCACCTGTGCTGAGGTTTGCTACCTGAAAGCAAATGGCTGTATGAAAGATTGAGCTGGAGGACTGCAGAAAACATCCCTCATCTCTTTGTCCATCATTAAAATAGCTGTGGAATTAAATAGTTAGACCAAGAAAGAAATTGAAGCAGATGTTGGCAAATAAATCCCTTCACTTCAAAAGAACAGACCCCCTATTTAGTAAGGAAAGGATAAAAAGTTTGGGATTTCTTTCCAAGCAACATAATTAATATGCTTTACCAGCCCAGATGACTGCAGGGTTCAGGCAGTTACATATCTTCAGGCATTTTGGAAAAAAGTGAAGGATTGGGGTCTAAGACTTTCAGACAGATTTTTCAGCAGTGAAACTCTCTAAGTCCTTCAGAGGGCTTTGGCATGAGCTTTTCCTATTACACTGTTAAACATGGAAGATGATTTGATACTGAAGCAAGGGAAGTAAATACCTGTGGAGCATGAAGCAGCCCTGGGGCAAGCAGAGCATTTTACCCACAGCAGTTGCTTTGGAAGTTTTACTTGTTCTCCATGCCCTGTTGCATTTGGATTTGAGAAGTAATCTGGCAAAGCCTTGCAGCTGGAAAATCCTGCAGGAGGATTTGTCACCTGCATCACAAAGCTGCACAAAATCTCTCATGGAAGCAGCAAAGGGAGCTTTATCAGGAGAAAGGTGGCAGATGAATGCAGCCATAGCAGCAGTTAAAAATGTATCACATCTATTCCTTAGCTTGCCTGTTAAAAATAATTACTAAATTGAGGATTTATAAAGGAGAAATAAATGCCCGGCATGTAATAATCATGATAGCATACCCCAGATAGTTTAAATCTATTTTCCTCTATAGTCTACCCCAATTAATTCTCTAGTTACTAACAGGAAATCATTTCTGAAATGGCTGAAGAAAAACTACATAAAGTGTGATACTTCCTTGGTAATTTCCAGTTTTCCACTGGCATTTGGAAGACTTTCACTGAAGCATGTCATGTCCAGACAATTTAGAAGCAAGGGAAACCTTTTCCAAACCTTCCAGTATCACTTTCATGTTTTTTGTTTGTTTGTTTTTATTTTTTATCAAGCTGTCCATCCTTCAGAAGCTCAGCTGTGATTCAAAGAAACTGTACACATGCTTCCATCAAAACCAAATGCAGTGTGGCTTTATCATGACTAACAGAAGACCTCTGAAAAGCCAAAAGATAAGCCATGGAACCATTTTTTCACAGGTAGAGCCCACAGATGTTGCCTGAGACCCATTGTCACACACCAGACATCTGTTCCACAACCATGTGGAATACATACTCTCTAATACCTGTCCAGCCAGATTTGGGGCTAAATGCCTGAAACCTATTAAAGTCTCCCTGCTTCTACTGACCTCAGTTCTAGTGAAATGTGAAAGAGCTCTGGAGCCAGGAGCTCTGATGTGTCAAACCACTTCCTACACATGATGGCACGCTCCGCCACACTGAGCATCGAGCTTGGTTTCCTGGATAACAGACTAATATCTGAACAGAAAGCAGCCTTTGTTCTTTCCCGTGGAGCCAGTAAAACGATGATTTGCTGATCAAAGCCCTCACTGCACATGTGGGTGACGCTCCCAGACAGCTTCATCAGGCAGTAATCAGCTCCTTGGCTTGGTTGGCAACAGCTCATCACTTCTGAGAAACTTCATCATCCTCAGAGAAGTGGAGAAAAGATGTGGACAAGTCCCATGGAGCTCAAGTGGCTTTTGATGTGGCTCTTGTTTGGATTAATCAAGGGGAAGAAGACAGGTAAAAGACTCTTTTTGCCTTTTGGGGAGGAAAATATGATTTGGGTTTTTTGGTGGCTTTTGGAAGGTGTTCACAACATCTTGACTCCTTTCAGCAAAGATGTTAAGGAGCTTAAGGAATTTATTACTCTAAGGAAATGAGAGAAATGGGTTCTGTGCCCACAAACTGTCAACTGCAGAAAATCCAGAGCTTTAGAGGATATTTTTTGTCTGACTAATATATGTATCCTCCAACCCATCATTTGAACAGTGGGCAGATCAAAGCAGCCTGAGGCAGCCCTTTGAATTTCCTTTTTCCATTTTCTTGCAGCTTTAGGAAATAAAAATAGACACTGAAATACCAGTACCTTTGTAGGTAAAATTGATGGCAATGCTATTAGTTAAAAGGTACCATCCAAATTTGCTATGGGTACTATAGATATGAAATACTTTTTAAGCCATGCCTATCAGCAGTGCCTATAAACTGTGAATGGAGACAGCTAATCCAATTCAGCATAATTCTACACATTTATAAATGGTGACACTGCTTAGATTTGGCTTATTTATCTTGACAAGTGTGTGCATTGAGAAATGGTTTGGCGATGCATTAGTGTATTTAAATTTAAATTGCTTTGTTCAAAGGCAGGGAAAAAAATCTTCCATTCTCAGAGCTCCATAAATGTGCTATTTCCTTCTGTGTCTGATGATGATGTCCAGGCTGAGAGGTATGAACAGACACAGCCTAAGGCAGGCTCTCAGATATGCTGGTACTGTAACTGCTGATGGATCATCTTTAGCAGGGCTGGGAATTTTCCTCGGGGCTGGCCATCTCAAGGGAAGAGTGTGTTGCTAATGACTGAACTCATTAATGCAAGAAGAACCTTCACAAATGTTGAAGCCCTGGGTGATTTTATTCTCGTTATTTTGCCAGTGAATGCTGCACCTTCTCCTTCATGGGGCATTTTCACTGCCAGATGAGGTGCCAGAGACCACGGGAAGTGTTTGGTGCTGCGTGCAGGAGCAGCACTGCGAGATGCTCAGCCAGAGATGTGTCAGTGGGATCAGTTCTGGGATGAGTCAGATCCCCCAGATCACACTTTCTGTATTACTCTGCCTGGAACATGTTGTGAAATTTCTTGCTGGCAGTTCTCGTTTATCAGAAACCTTTCTGTTTTTTTGGAAAAAAATCGAGGGGTGTCAGAGCAGTTGCATTTTATGCTATTTGATGTAATTTTATTCACCACTGAATGAATGAATGCACAGCATTGCATTCTCCACTGTATCACTGAGCTCTTCTTTCTTCAGCTTCCTGTACTTATTTTCAACGTTTAAACATAATATTTATATATATATTTGTAATTTCTCCCTGCAAATAACATACTAAGGTAGAAACACCACTTTTTACCAATTTAGGGTTTTTTAATCATGGAAACACTTAAGGTGTTGTAGCTGTAAGACCTGTAGGTTTTGATTCCTTGGAGGAATCGACAAGGAGACCTGGGAACAGACATAAGCAAAGCAAAGGGAAAGGGGCTGGGTCAAACTGGTCAAAAATCAACCAGGCCTCAGCACATACAGTGTTTTTTTTTATTATTTTGCCTCCGTATTTTCAGCTTGTCCCAGCACTGCAAGTTCAGTTTTGTAAATAGGTCGAGCCCTAGATGGTGTTTGTCAAATTGCACTATCAGGAATAAATATAATTAGAGGGAAAAGGAAATAAAAACAGTTTCACTGATAGTTCTCAAAGTGTTTTGAGAGGGCAGAGTCCTGGGGGACTGGGGAAGTTAAGGCATGGGATGATCATTCATTTAATAAAAATTAAACTACACCTTAGTGGTAAGAAGAGGAGCAATGCTGGTTTTCTTGTGAAGAGCATCACATTTATCTCCTTTAGTCTGCACAGCAGCAGTGCCTAGAGGATGCAGGCATGAGTGAAGCCTGAAGTGGGGGCAAACACAAGGTAAAAGGTGGTCTGTGCTCCTTCAACCCTTCCAACTTTCTATTCATCATACAGGGATACACTGAACAGATTTGCAACTTAAACCTGGAATGGATTAAAACTCACAAAACAAAGAAATTCATTCAAGTGAATTTCATTCACCCAAGATGGGTACCAGATCTCGGTCATGTAAATGAGAGGAATTTCTTTCCCATTATACTTGCATATTAGTGCTGGCTCCCATGGATTTGAAATGCAATGCAGAATACATTAAAGTTATCAAACACAGACAAGTGATTCTTGTAAGGTCAGCTAGAGAATAAATACCTTTGTAAACCTTTCAGCTACAGCAGCCTTCAGCAACAAAGGGCTCAATATACAGCTACAATTAAAAAACTTTAAAAATGTTTTAAAAGTGTGATCCTACTGAGGAAAAGCAGATATTACAGACAGAGATCCTGCAGTACCTGCTTCTATAGCTGGAGAAATTGTTCTCCCACTTCATCAGAGGTGAGATGTTATGTCCTTTTTTCCTCAATTGCAGAAAAAAATCCACTCTTTATCTACTTCTAGAAAGCCACTGCTTCTGACTTTGCTCACTGTTTCCTTCCGAGTGTTGTTATTTTGGTCTCCCTATCTCCTCAATGTTCAGCTTTGTCTGCCCTGTTTTCCCTGTTGCATTAATGCCATCTTCAAAGCCCAGCTTCTGAGTATTTTCTACCCACGGATTCCATTCCCTGACCTTGGTCCTGAATTTTGGAACCACGTGGCTCAGTCTTTGCTCTGTCTCCTCCAATGCTTCCTCAAAACCCACATTTCCCAAGTCCTTCAATAACTTTCCTCACTTCACTTCCTGTTCTCCAGCCCTGCCAGGGGAGCAGCACTTTATCATCTGCTGCTTTTTCTTGATGTTCTTGATTTGTAAAATGTGAACCCTCACATAAAGAATATATAACCTTCTCTATGTGGAAAAATACTTCATGCATGACATCAGAAAAATTATTGCCAGGTGCATAAAATTTCCACCTCACTCTTGAGATCTTCAGGACAAAGCCCCATGACCATACTAAGTCCCTAAGTCAAGGAGATGAGTCCTTAGGGCATATCAGAAATCAAAATTTCCCCACTAGATATTTTTTTTTCACTTTCCTGAGACTGGGACACACACTTGTCAGACCATTCAATTATTTTCAGAGAGGATATTCTCTACTGCCCATTCAGCCCTACAAAAGGCAAGGCTGAGAAAGTTCCAGACAAAAGAAAGAATCTGTATCTCTGCTGCTGTTTAAAAAGACATTTTTTGTTTCCTTTTAGATGAAAATATCAAGGATATGTGTAACTGAGGTTGTCTGTTTAAGCAAAAATGTCACCCACCAAAACAAGACTTTCATGTATGCTGTTCTGAAAACTTGGCTCTGTGTTCTACTACAAAACCATGTGTTGTGGTTGCATTTAGAGACTCTGAGCTCTGTGGCTTTAGTGCGGAACCAAGGATGTTATAAACACCCAGAAACAAAAACAAGTGTTCCCCATTCTTTACTTTGTGCACTTTCTATGCAGTACACTGTGCCCAGGCAAGATTTCCTCCCCCTCCCTCTTTCCTAATGTTCCTTCTTCCGATTCCACATTTTGAGTCCAAGTCCTCAGCCCAGCCCCCTTGTTAGGGCAGGTGTGAGATCCATCAGTGCATCAGGTAAACCACTCTGATTATCAATGCAACCATGTAAGAACATTCTTTCACCACTGCAGCTGATAAAAAGAAAGAAGCACCTTAAAGCTTTGCTTTGGAGAAGGTAAATTAGGTGTCTGCTGTGCTCTAGAGAGGTTTGCCCGGCTCCACTTCTCACAGAAGGAACTAAGAAAGCACATTCCTGAGGCTAAATTATGCTCAGCATGAGAAAGCTTTGTCCACTGTGCAACCTACTCTAGACTTGCTGTATATGGATTTTTTTGGCGTTAGATTCTACTGCCTAGGTCAATGGCAAACAGCTGGTCAGCAGGATTAAGCCAAGAGGTAAGAGAAGTGTACTTCTCCCAAACCCACTTTTCTATGGTCCTAGAGCTCCTGACAGTTCCACATTCCACATTATTTTGCACTGTTTTTTGAACAGATACATCTGGTACAGCAAACTTAGTGGAGACTGAACTGCCAGATCCTTAGAACAAGACATTCTTTTTCTCCACTGCTGGGAATATTCAAGCCCACCTCCAACCCCCTAAGGCTGGTCTCTCCTCCATTGCTCTTTGTATTAAAACTTGTGCTTGGTTATTTTATCTGCACTGTATTTCTGTCACTTACACTGCAGATTCACTATTACTCAAATTTTTTAAGATAATCACTCCATAATCTAAGGTACAGCTAATTATAATCTCACAGGCAAATTACAATAAAGTTGGGGTCTGTATCCCAACCCTACATCTGTGATCTATTCCCATCTTACAAATTCACATAAGCATTAAATGACATTAGTGGGGGAAAGAATCCTGCAGAGCTGAGGCTTGCTTGTTAAAGGATCCTTTGGGAATAAGTTTTGAAGTTAGAAAAAGTTCATTACCATTTCAGTCCTGTTGTCGGTATCAATTCCTTCGCTTTGCCTGTATCAGTTTCATCTTCATGAGATGGCACCATTTAGAGAGCCCAGTTTCACACAGAACATAAATCCCCAGGGCTGGTTTAGCTTTTCAGGCACAGCTGGGGAAGTATCTTCATTTTGGCCTGGTTTGATTTGTTGGTGTCTCCGGGGAGAGGTGCTCTTCATCTCTGAACTGGGCAGGTGTGTGCAGTGCCTGGTTTCTTCCACTGCTTCTGCCCAAAACTTCAGAACATCCAGTTCCCTACCAATCCCATCCTACTGCCTTTGTAGTAAGGGGGAAATCATCCTATTTTTGCATCTTGCTGCTTTAACTTGACATCAGAATAATGTCAGCACTGGTGACACACAGCCACGTGACAGAGGAAGTTCTGAGTTTAGGTTATTGTGGCATGACTCACTGTCTGTGTTTTACCTAGCACTAAAAATACCTGTTACGAATTTTCCCCACTCACTTCTAAAGGTGGACTAAAGGTGATGTTTTAAAGCCTCATCTGTCACTGCTCTGCCAACTCAGACATGGAAGAGAAACAGGCAGGAGGGTTTCATGAAGCCTGGTACTGCCAGCACACTACCAAGAGCAGTTTTGTGGTTAGGTGAGTAACATACTTAAATGGGAAACGTGAGGGAAGAAACCTGAAAGAACTGATGCTGATTTAGGTGCCGGGTTTCTTTCCCTCCAGTATCTCCTGTGTGATATCTGACAGCTCATGTGGAAATCTGAGATGCCCTGAGACATCTCAAATGGCATCAGGCACCCCAACTCACACCTGTCTGTTGGCTCAGATGACAAGGCTTGCAGGTCTCAAAAAACTTTTCAAACTTAATTTAGGGAGCACTCCAGCAGAACCAATACCTACTTTTAAATTGTTATGTTTCATGGCTGTCTGTTGTCTCAATATACAAGTCTTCTTCTAATTCCAAGGGTTTGTCTCCATCCACTCCATCATAATAATTGAAACCACCTCCAGAATTTCTACAAATGCTGTAGGCACCAAAAATCCATTAATAAGTGTTCTTATAATTCTGCAACTGACAGAAGGGCTAAATCCCCGCTAATAGAATGACACCAACCTCTCTGTTTGGCCCATTTACTACCTCTAAGTGCAGAGAAATGGAGTCTCAGGACACTTTTGGGATGTGGAAAGTGAGAATAGTTGGTAGGAGCTGATTAATTTTGTGAATAAAGGAAAGAAAGAACAGTGAACATCAGGATAGAAAGAGAAGGAAATAGTGGCACACAACACCTTGTCATGGGGACAAAAAATTGGAATATGTCCAGAGGGAAAATGAGGAGGCAAACAAAATATCAAGACAACTCAAGGTAATGTGAGGGAAATATTTCAACCCAGTAATAACAGGAGTGCAACCCTGGAGCAGCTGTGGAGGGATGCAGAATCCAGGGAAAGCTGGGCTGTGCAAAACCAGGTCACCATAGGCTGTGAGGCAGGTTATGCCCAGATGTGCTGGCCTTTTAAAAGATTGATATTTTCATATCACGCCAACTCAAACAAGTTGATTGACTAATTACCAACGAGGTGCAAAACAGCAAAAAAAAAACCTCAAAAAAACAAAGCTAACCTTCCCTAAAAATGTGAAAGGTCAGAAATCTAGTGAAGGAAAAAATCTACCCTGCCATTCCCTATTCCCTGGATTCTTCCAATCCTTTTGCTGTTTTACCACCCACACAGCAAGGATGTTGATCTTTTCAGGGGCAAACCATGCAGTTTCCTTGGGCACAAAGATGGAATGAAAGTTTAGGCACGATTCACTCCAGAGGTCAGTATGGTCCAGACCTCACCAGGTCTGCATCCTCTCTGCAGTCTTCCCACACTATGCCAGGAAGTGCCATGACATGAAACTGAGGAAAGACATAGAGATGCTGGAACAGGTCCAGAGAAGGGCAGTGGAACTGGGGAAGGGTCTGGAGCACAATTCTGATGAGGAGAGGCTGAGGGATCTGGAGGAGCTCAGCCTGGAGAAAAGGAGGCTCAGAGAGGACCTTTTCACTCCCTACAACTGCCTGGCAGGAAAGTGCATGGGCTACATGCTGAGTGCCTACTTTTTCTAGAAAGAGGAGTAAAAACCACATAAAGTGAAGCACTTCTGAAAGTATATAAGATACTTTGGGACAATTAAGAGCAGTCATAGCAAAGGATATTTTGCAATATCCGTCCATATTCATTCACGGCTCCTCCCAGTATGAGAACTAGTACAACAATAAACCCAAAAGATGATGACTTGGATATCAAACACATTGGTGAGGAGCTCTAGTGTGGGAGGAGAAGCCAGTGTTTTAAAAGGTTATAATGGTTGCAAAGGAGAAGGCTCTTGAAAATGGGAGCAAAATATTTTATGTGACAATGAAGCAGTTAAAAGTCAAGGGGAGGCAGGCACAAGGTCACAACAAGACCTGGGAAATTAATCTTCCAAAATTCTTTCTGGATCAGAGAAAGAAATGTGGTGTAAAGGTCAGAGAAGATACTGCAGTTGTTTAGATGTGAAAAGACAAGAATTTGAGCAATGTGAATGAAATTAAAAGGCTGGATCCAAGGAAGGTTGTGTGCAATCCAGCTGCAATGTGGATGCTCACCATCTCCCAAGTGCACCATTTCTGCACAATCCCTGTCTGATGAGTGCAAGTTCAGAAGAACCCAATATTTGATCATCGATTAAAAGAATGTTTGCCCTTTATGATGAGTAGGTTAAATGTTGTGGGTTTTCTTAAGAAGAGACTAATGAGTTGTAGGTTTGAGTGCCTTGTGCTGAGATTCAGATCTGCAGTCTGCTTCAAAGAGGCTTTTGAAGTCTTGAGGGAAACAAGCTTTTAGCTTTCAGGGAAAGTGAGAGTACATGATCTCAACTTGCTGCTGATCTGATAACTCTTTAATTTTAATCACCCTGACAGTCTGTGGTAAACCATGTGGTTAACTATTTCGGGTGCAGTCGTTTCTCTCAAAGCCACAGTCTGATGTAGTTTACAAGGCAAATCCTTTGATAACACAAAGGTACAAGGGGATTAAAACAACCCTTAGGCAGATTAGCTGTTAAACTGCTCACGTACTTTTTGTTGTTGCCTTCTTCAAACTTTGTGACTTTTATTAAACAGCAAGACAATGTAAAGTAAAAGGGACAGAAAATAACAAAGTGAAGAAATGAAAGAAAAGGGCATTGCAGGGCTGAGGCTGGGAGTTGCAGGTTGAGTTCCTGTTGGTCTTTCAAGGAGAAGGCACTTTGGGAGTCAAGGGCAGACTCCAAATGATGAACAGCTATCAGGGACTCCAGGGCCTTTCACAGTTATTTCTGCTGGTTGCTAAAGTTGCATTAATTATGGCTGCAGAAAATGCGAGGATATGATGACTAAGAAATTTCACTCCTGATAGCTGTTACTGTTGTGCATATAAGCATAAAGGGCCATGGATTGTGCACCCAAAGATCCAGAGTGCCAGCCCTAGTGCAACCAGAATATTTGATCCTTTAATTTCTCAGCCTTTAGGCCTTAAATAATCATTAAGTAGTGCCTTTATCAACCTGTGGGTCCCCAGCTCAGTTTGAGCAGGCTTTTCAAGTGCACTGAAATGATCTAACTTAATTAATTCCAACTGATTGACAAGTATATTTAGATATGATTTGCTGATAGCACAGCACTTCATGTCCTTGTTTTGGGACAAGTTATATTTAGGTTTGCAAACTTATTTCACAGTAAGCTGGTCTTTGGTGTCCTCAGACCAAACTGAGAGTCTATGCCCATTCCCAGTGTTTGCTTATAGATGATTGCAACTTCTGGTTGCTTGTTTTGCCTATTGTGCTTCACTCCATAGACTGAGGCTGCACACTCTGGTGTGGGTAGCTGCTCTCCAAAACAATTGTGTGCAGCTTCATTAAGAAAATGTTGAAGCTTCATTAAGAAAATGTTGGTAGTGTTTCATGTTGTCCATCTGCTGTACATGTCTGGTATTGAGAATGGGGAAGTCCTTGATGCATGAAGTAAAATGCCAGGCTCTCCTGATTCTCAGGCTTTCTATTTGCAGATAAATGCCCAGATCTTCCAACAACTGAATTTGCTGATGTTACTGCTGAAATGTATCCACTACAGACCAAACTGTACTATACGTGTGATCCTGGCTATGACAGAGAAGCTGGTGCATACTTAGGGATTCAGTGCAAGAGTGAACAGCAGGGTGCTGTTTGGGAATACAGTCAATTTAAATGCATCGGTGAGTGAGTGCTGGTTTTTTTTCTATACATGGAAGTGTTTCTCCTCTTGTGTTACTTGGTATAAAATAAATCTGGGCAAAAGGTCTTTCATGATTATTTTTCTAAGCCAGAACTTGAAACAGTTCTATCCAACCTCTAAAAGCTTGGGTGCTCTGGCACTTTGTTGTGATATTTGTCCTGATGTAACTCAACAAATGTAACTTCTCCACAGATAAGAAAAATTCGTCGTCAACAGCTCTCACAATGGAGTTAGAACTTACACAGAAGCCAGAAAGAGAATCAAGGAGCCCTGCACCCGAGAAGCAAGAAGACATTTCAGAGTCCAAACAAAAAGGTAAATAAGGGCTCATTCAATACTGCAACGCTTCTCCTGCAGATTTCTGTGGAAGTAGTGTAAAAGTGGTGAGTAATATTTAATTATTTTGCAGACAGAGGGAAAGAAACGATTTCTTGTAATATCTTGGCTGAATAAGTGATATGGTGTAAGCAAATGAGTATTTTATATTCTAACCAATAATTGGAAAGGCTTGGTATATCCTGCTTGTCTATATTTTCTAAGAACACAAGATTTTCAAGAACAGAAACAGTATGCAAAATCTGTCTGGTTTAACCATGTGCTGCTTTGTGCTCCCACAGATTTCTGTGGTCGTCCCAAGACTGTTCCACATGCCTCCATAAGGCTGCCCCAACAGCATTATGTGGGACAAGTCTTACATTTCAAGTGCCAGACAGGTTATGATAAGAGACCCCCCACCTTTGGCAGCAGGACATGCAAAGAAGTGAATGGCAAAATCATCTGGACCGCCCTTGATATGAGATGCACCAATGACAGCAGCCAGTGGCCACTACAGATCATTGGGCCAGGTAAGATGGTTATGATTACACCACATCAATGTCCTGACCTGCTCATGTGGGGTTCAGAGCCTCCAACTGTCGTGGGGAGAGTGGAAGCTTCAAAAAAGTCTACTAAAGAAGCCCTGCCACTTAGGGAAAGAAAGAACACCCTGTATATTTAAACACCCTCACAGAAAGGGGTTTAAATGAAGGCAATCCTTCCTTAGCCTCAGATTTTGTCAACACTTTAAATTTAAGGAATCACTCTGTCTTGCAAGTTCTTTTGATGGCAAATCAGATTATTTTCATAAAAAGGAATTGTTTATTAAGACAAACGAACAGGAGGTAACAGTCAGAAGATCTTAATCTGAATTTCTTGCTACACAGTATAAAACTAAAATAACTACTAGCAGATTATTGCACAACATAAAACAGTGCATTGTATCAAAATGCCTGTATTAAAGCTAACAAAATAAATAATATTGGATTAGGAGTCAAATGTAACTTACTACTGAAATGATGGTAATGTACATAGACAGTTCCCTTCACTTAATCCCTTGGGAAGTAACTATGAAATAGGTGTCCCTACTCACAGGAGAAACTCCACACATTTTCAGGAGAATGTACAGATTTCTGCTTTGTGAAAGTTTGTTGTGACTTTTATAGTTGTAAAAGGAATGGCTGTCAACGAGAAATCCAGCCTATTTTGTCATTCCAGCCCTTATGGCCATACCAGACCACTGCACACACTGTTTCAGCATCAGGCTAGGACTTACTCCTCTATTTCATAGATCTGTTTCCCTGTGGTGCCTGGTTCAGAGTGTTCCCAGTACAGAGGTCATAATTTGCTGTCTGGTGCTTCCTCTTCCATCATGACACCATTGAAAATTTCACTTAGTGCTATCAGAACAAAAGAACTTCTTGCTGTGATGGATATAACCCATCAACAAGCCAGTCCTAGAAAATAATACTGTCTATTAAAATTACATATATTTAAAAATTACAAATATTTTAAGATTTTTAAATTGGGTTTGTGAAAAACATGGGACTGGATAACAAAAGAAGCCCCCTTGGCCTCTATTTCAACAAAACAGTAATTCCAGTTGTCTGCAAAATGCTCTCAAACCTCAGCAAGCTCAGGTCCTTGCAAAAAGAGCACCAAATATTTATTCCCCTAAAGTGTTGCCTTTGTATTTGCTATGATGTGATGTCTGTAATGAGGCTGGAACTTTCTCAGTACTCCTTCAGCACTAGCACAAAGAAATGTATCAAGAAACCACTGTTACAGGACATCTTGTTAAAAATCTGTCCATATGTCATTCTGGGACAAGTTCAGAGCTTCCTTTTCATGGTAAGAGAGAAATTAAATTAATTTCTTTCACCAGGGATGTTGTAGCTTACATTTCTGGGCAAAAACAGGTCCTGGTTGTTTCCAAGTACTAGCTTGGCACCTTGAAAATCATCCTTCCAGTCTCATATGAAGTAAAGATTTTAGATGGATCCCATTCCAGTTCACTTCAAGCCCACCATTAGCAGGTGTCAGATCAGTGGATATGTTGGTATGCAGGCTGGAAAGATCTACTGATGGCCAAGAAACAAACATGGCAATTTTTAAGTGTTCTGTGCAGAGGCTGAGCTGTCAAACTCTACCCTTGGCACTGCTTTGGTGCTGGAATGAGCTGACTCTTTGCTTGACTCTGTCCTCATCACTGCTCTGGTGCTCTTCATCAGAAGAGCAAATTGATACCAAGAATCAAGAATTTCTCTCTCTTCATAGGTTTAACTCTTCTGTCCTCTTCCTCATCAGGGATGCTGCCACTGACAGGTATGCCATTTTATTAAAGACTTCACTCCATCACACAGGGCACTGAGTTGGTCTTTCAGTTTGTTGTTCTATTCCAAAGAGACCCATTTCTATTAGAGGATCTACTAAATATGCTTCAAGGCAAATCTATATCCACGTATTGTGTGAGAAGTTAGTAAAGACAGTATAAACAGATTGTTTAAGCACTTAATCTTTTATAAAGAAGTTTTCAAAGATTTGTAAGGAATGTAAAAGAAAACAGATCAACCAAAAGTCTATTTTTTAAATGGAGCCGTTTTCAGATTCTTCTCTGAGACTTTCTGTGAATTCAGTGAATCACTTCAACTGGAAAAAAGCAGAAGAAAAATACTTAAATGCTGAGGTTTTTTCACATTTTTAAAGGAGTAAAAGAAGATGGGCAAATAGAACATTTCTTTACAGCTACCCTTCCCCATCTTCCACTCAGCAATTAGCTGATGAAATAGAAATTGTGTCTCACTAGGCATATCTCAAGACTTTGCACAAGGGCTCTTGATTCCAGCTGGAGTCTGTCGAAAACTGTAGTGCACGTTATGGTGAGAAGGAATAATGGAGTGAGATGAAGGAAGGGAAGGAGGACTTTTGCAAAATACTCCAGAGACCACAACATCAGTAGTCTCTGGTTATTTGACTGTGGTCAATCTCTAGTTGCCCAAGTCCCCTCTGGTTGGGTCCTGGGAACAATGGGGCAACGTGGAAAAATTCCTGCCTCTGAGCAGAGGGACAAGATGGGACCCTATCCCTAATCTTGCCTGTTTCTCCCAGCTGGAGTAAGTGCAATAATTAAGATAACTCCATATGTTAACCATATTGATTTTCAAATTTTACAGCTATCTGGTTTGTTCTGCTTATCATTCCCACTGCCTTCGTGTGACTCACCAAGCAGACAATAAGGTAAGTGGGACAGAATGAGGAAAATGTGAAATCTAACCAAAAAATCCCTAGAGGTGGAAGAGTTATCAACTGGATCAGCCTCTCCCTATTGCACTGCTTAGATTTCTGGACATCTTCTTTGGTGTTAAATATGACTTGGGATTTTGGGATTGTCTGATTCAGTGGTTAAATACTGGCACAAGAAAAGGAGAAACCAGAGCTTTTGTAATAAAAAAAAAGCTCAGAACAAGTTCCCCAGAGAGGTTGTGGACTCCTCATCCCTGGAAGTGTCCAAGGCCAGGTTGGATGGGGCTTGGAGCAACCTGGTCTAGTGGAAGGTGTCCCTGCCCATGACAGGGGGATGGAATGAGGTGGGCTTTAAGATCCCTTCCAACCCAGATCATTCTGTGATTCTATAGTTCTAAAAAGCAGTCTTTGTCCCAGCCATTTTGGAACTGAGAATGGCAGTTCAAATAATGGGTGGGAGATTAATTCTGTGGGAAAATTAAGATTAATTATACAAGTGCATTGTTTCAGGTAGATTATGCAATCAGTCTTTTTCTCTCTGACCAAACTGTGGGAAGTCTGGGGGAGCATCTGCCACCACAACCACATAAATCTGTTTCCTTCATCCCCCTGATTTCAGAGTTGTGTCATGACAACTTTGTATTTCAGATTTATTTCAGTCTGGCCTCCTCCCTGTTCCTGTTACTACACTGAGATGAACCAAGGCTGTTCCTGTTCACAGGCTCCCCATCCTAGTTAAGCCAAGATGTCCCTATTTAACATTTGGGAATTCTCCTCTTCTTCTCTCCCTTTGCTAATCCTTGTCCCTGTTTCTCTTCATTTTCCTTACTAATTACTGATAGTTCTTAGCTGAATGGGGATTTTTCTTGAGAAGTGAGAAGGCAGGACCTCATGAAATCACATCAGAAGTATATTTTTGTCAATTCATGGCTGGATAAAGCCATATAAAGTGTAAACAATGCTTTGAAACATATTTTAGTGAAGATAGTCAACCATGGTGCAGATTGCCTGGGCCTTTGTACAATTTCTGAAAATATGCTATGTGAAAAAGTGCCAAGAAGTATCTACATTGTACTGGCTCTGTGGTGGAACAAAAATGAAATAGCCAATGCCAGATAAAATAGTAACTGAGAAATGAAAGAGTAACTGAGATCCTAAATGGTGTCTTCTGCAAAAAATGATCTGTTGTTTCTCATAGTAAATATAGAAGAAGCCATAGAAAAAACTGCTTTTTCCTCACCTGTAATAAAGTCTTCTTCCTGCTGTAGGAAAGACTTCTCAGGGAATTGTGGCATTCAGATGCAAACTCGTGAAATTAATGACTTGCCACAGAAGAAACCAGATTGTTCCAGAGACCTCAAGACCAGCAGTGGCAAATGAGGAAGCCTGGACATTCAAATCCAGTGTGTGAAGGAGGCAGAAGATGTAACAGCTTAAGTCTTATGGGGACAGCATGACTTTCCACCTACAGAGTGCTGGTAGGAGGACTGCACCCCATCACTGACAGATGGGGAAAGAGCCCTGCCTGGAACTGCTTCCCAAACCTACTTCTCCTCCCACCATGCAGCAGATGTATTTCCAATATAACTGCAGCCCCTCCCAAGCTACCAGGACTACATATGGACCATTCTCCCAAGCACATTAAAGGGTACCACTGCCATTTCAGCCCATACATCACCCTCCCCACAAACAGAGCAGCTTTGCTGGACACCTGATGTCCCCCTGCCTCTTCCACACCCAAGTGGGTCAAGTGCAGGAACACTTTTCTCCTCAAATTGTTCCCCTTGGAAATTAAACCCCTTCACCCCCTGCACTGCAGCTGAAAATCTGATTGGATTCCCTTGTGGTTCACTATATACATGCATTCCTCATCACTCCCCTCTTCCCAGTTATTTTGGATTAGTGCCTTCTATGACAGTTCCTACATCATTCCTCCAGCTCAGACAAGGATGCTGCAGATCGTGATCGTGGCAGCTGATTAATTTGACAGCTCCTTTTGTAGCTGCAGAGTGTGAGAGAACCCAGTGCAAAGGCATCTGAGGACAGGCTCAAGCACCCATAATACTTGGCATGTTCCTGTATTATTGGGAATTTGCGAGGTCTGGATATTCTTCTGCCTCTTTTTAGCCACACTCAGCTGGGTTTCTCCTGGCTGAATGCAAGTATCTGTATCTGAGGCAAGCAGTAGGGACAAACAAGTTCCTTTAGAGAGCAGTTCATCTTACCCTATTGCCTAGCTATAATAAAATATAATAAACAATACATATCATATATAATAATATATATTATTATTCTGTAATAGACGTATGTGAATATGTATTTATTTACACACACACACAGATATATAGTTATTTGTGTATATATACAGGTCAAATGACTCAGGGTCGTGACCTGTTTCTCTGCATTGGCTTTAACATGTCCAGATTGACCAGATTAACTACAGAAGCTTACCTGACATATGACAAAAGCCAAATGGGATGGATCCCTTCCTTATAATTGGGAAGATATGGAGAGGTTTTGGTCTAGTTTTCAGTTTCGAGATAGTGTATGTGTCATTGCTTTTCTGCTTAGTATTCCTGTTGGGTTATTCTCACTCTATAGTCTTGATGTTTATATTTCCCATGGCTTTTTAAATTCCTGTTGGAATAAGACTTACATGTACCATTATTTTATCACGTGAACCCTCAGTAAGTTCATGGATAACATCAAGTATGCTGCGAATGCTGATCTACTGGAAGGTAGGAAGGGTCTGCAGAAGGATCTGGACAGGCTGGGTCAATGGTGGGAGGCCAATGGAATGAGATTCAAGAAGACCAAGTGCTAGGTCCTACATTTCAGCCACAAGAACCCCAGACAGTGCTACATGCTGGGACAAAGTGACTGGAAAGTGTCCCAGGATCAGGGGGTCCTGAAGATGGGCCAGCTGTGCCCAGGTGATCAAGAAGACCAATAGCATCATGGCTTGTAACAGCAGCAAAGTGGTCAGCAGGACCAGAGCAGTGATTGCCACCCTGTACTTGGCACTGGTGAAGCCACGCCTTGAGTCCATGGTGCCACAAAGTGGTCAAAGATTGGACTCAATAATTTTGGAGGTCTTTTCCAACCTAATTGTGGTTGGAATTCTGTGCTTCTGTGACATAGCCCTTCACTCTGAATGAAAAGGAGGGTTTGAAGAGAGAAGTACAGGCAGCAAGGGTAAACAGGAAGCCATTTCGTCTTCAGGTGTCCCTGTTCTTCTGAGAAGGTCCACAGGCTAGGATAGCAGTAAAGGAGACAAACCCTGAACAGGTCAGTGTTGATGGAAGTGAGGGAAGTAGCCATTCACACAGGCAGTGGGGATTCAGAGACACTCTCCATTTGACAGTGCTGTCTTCTAGATGACTTTGAAACATAAAAACACAAGTTGGTTTTAAAAGACAACTTTTAATTTATGTCAGATGTGAAAGCACCTGTGAGTTTAATGTGTGCTCTTCAAACAGATGTGTTCTAGGACTAGTTCTCAGATTTCCATTTTGTGAGTTTACCTGCCATGTGATGCTTTCATATAGAAAATTCTAGCACCACCATTGGCACTGAGAAATTTTTACGTGCATTATGTAGGAGCGTTCCTCTTGTGCCACATGAGCAGGAGCTGTGTCCTGGAGTGATCTGTTACTTACTGCACTTCATGGGGCTAAACATGGACCCCAGGGTTTGGATTCTCTGTCTGCAGCAATGTTCCAGGGTATACACTGAGACAGGTGGGGGTGTTCAACCTGGAAAACAGATTACTCCAGGGAGACCTTGGAGCCACTTCCAGTGCCTAAAGGTGCTTCGGGAGAACTGGAGAGGGGCTTTAGACATGAGCGTGAAGTGACAGGACAAGGGGGAATGGCTTGCCACTGCGAGAGGGCAGGGCTAGATGGGATATTAGGGATAAATTCTTAACTGTGAGGGTGGTGAGGCCCTGGTACAGGCTGCCCAGAGCAGCTGTGGCTGCCCCATCTTGGAAGTGTCCAAGGCCGAGTTGGACAAGGCTTGGAGCACCCTTGGATAGTGGAAGGTGTTCCTGCCCATGGCAGGGGATTGGAACTGGATGATCTTTCATGTCCCTTCCAACCCAAACTATTCCAGAATTCAATGAAGCCCCAGGGAGTTGGACTCATGAGTCTTGTTTTTCCCCTTTTCCCACAGTAGTACAGCTGCTTAAGACAAGTTTTCTGCAGCTGTTAAAAGAAAAGGATGGGATGTGTTAACCTGGGATATCTGCATGTGTATTCACAAGAGCTGGCTTATACATTCCCAGCCTTTGTGGTCAATGGCTCAATCTTCTGCCTTCCTCACCTGCTCTCTGATAATCACAGTCTGTCTGATACTCTTAAACTGCTGTTTTCTCAAGACTTTTCATGCTTGAAACTGGAAGACAATTAGCAGCCAAAACTTCTCCTCATATCTAAGATCCAGAGTTTACCTAGAGACAAAGTGTTTGTGGGTAGCTGTAGTCATTAAATTCCACCTGCATATAAACCAGCATGGGATGGACAGAGATAAATCACTGCTTCTAGCATTTACTCTCTGTAGGATGGAGGCAGTGCAACCTGTTTACTTCCAGCTCAGAACCACTGGTTCAGCCTTCTTGAGCTTTCAGGTTTTTCTACCATATTTATATCACACAATTTCATTTGCTTTGGGCTTTGAATATTTTGTGAAGGTAGTGGGGAAAAATGTAACTTCATAAGAAAAGAAAAACAAAAAGATGCCAACTTGCACTCCCAATGTACAGTACCACTATTGAATGATGTTGGCATTTTCTGGACATCTTTAGCATCTGATGTAAAACCCTTCCAACCCACTGGCACAGCAGAAACATCCATCCAGCACTTGAGACAAATCAGGCTGATCTTGAGTGTGTTTTCCCTCTTAGTTCTCTTCGATAAATGAATTTGCCTCCTTGAAAGGTTCTTTAGATTATGAAGCATATTGAAGCTCTGAGTTTACAATGAATCACAGATTAGCAGTTCCTTAAAAGTAATGCCAAGTAAAATTGGTCTTTGCTTAAATTGTTGCTGCTTTCAGTGTGACCTTGATTCTCAGAAGCAGCTCATGTTGTGGCCTTTGAGTATTCCTTAGTAAGGATCTGATGTTTACACAGACATAAATAACCATCTGGATAATTTTGCTGAGCCACTCTTAAAAGGAGTGCCATCCACCAAGGAGGGATATATTTGAAAACTCAAAAAGACCTTATATGTTTGGGATTTGTTGTTGGCTGTTGGAGATCAAATATTTGCACAGTGAGAGCTGAGTGTATAAATCCCATTGGAGAAGGAGAAGTCAGATGATAGGGAAGAGCAACAGTGAAAAAATAAATAGGAAAACTCTCCTATTGTGTAATAAGTTTGATTAAGTTTGGTGGTTCTTGTGTACATGGAGAGTAATTTCACAGGACCCATCCAAGTACACAACAGATAAGTAGTTCCTCAGAAATCAAAGTAGGTTTAATCTTATTATGCTTTCATAACAGCTATGGCCTTTGTATCTGGAGGCTAAGATGGTCAATCAAAGATCTAATACTTACCTAATTTCTCAATCTGACTTTGGATATTAAAATAACACATCCGAATAAACATTTGGGTTTCATTAAATTTCATTAAAAGAAGTACTTTTTGTAAAATATAAGGATGGTAGGACACAGAGATGGATCCTGGAGGTCTGTGTGCTGTTTGTGCTTCTCTTTTCTTGCATAAACTTAGGCAAGCTGCTTTGCATTTTCCTGCTTCATTTTTCCTGTCAGAGATCTGTTTCACTTCCTAATGGTAAAACACTTCAAAATCTTGAATGAGTATTATTGTGGATTTTCTAAGCTTACACCAAATCCATTTTCTCCTCACTTATACATTCCTAAAGAAAAGAAATAGAAGAATTTTCTTTTTAGATTTATATGGTATAACTGCAGCTGCAGAAGGTCAGATTTAACTGGTCCATTCTGCTGTCTGAGCATGCAGAGAGCAGCTCCAAATCCAGAGTCCTGTAGGGTACATTGTGTCTCTAATTCTCTTAGAGACATGGTCTGTCAAGAGGTGTTTCCTTCTTCACTGTAATCAGCAGCCCAGAGTTTCCAAACATCCTGATGTGACAGAGCTTCACAGGCTGATCTTCCACACAAATCAGGCAGAGCCTGGAAAATTGTGTGAGGGTGATGCTGGAAACCCAGTTTGTAAAAACCAAAACCACTGCCAGGGTATCAATGTTCGCTGTAGCATCTTCTACTGTGGGGCACAGTGCTTGGGCAGCAGCATTCCTGAACACCTCCTCACCTGACCCTCAGCAGTCCTTGGCTGATATTCCTGTGCCAAAGTGCTGTTGCCCAACAGCAAGGGACTTTTTTCCCAGGCACACAAAGTGAGAACCTCAGGGCAGGAGTGTTACAAGAAATCAACCCAGATACACAACAGATAAGTATTTCCTCAGAAATCTGAGGTGTACGTTTACAATGTAATCTTGTAAAAGTTGCCTAACAGGAAAGTTTGACTCCTGGATGAACCGAAGGAGGTTTGCCCAGCTGCTCTGTCAAGAAGAGGCCAAAAGATGCCACTGTCTTGATTCTCCTGTTTCCTTC